ATGCTCTTAAGGTTCAGTAGTTATCTATTTGTGATACCAACAATAGATATATTTCATTAGAGAAGAAAATGTATCTGTGTGATGGTATATTCATGGAACAAATAATGCTGAGTAGTTATTATAAGCCATGAATTTTTCTATAGCTTGAAGACAAAGTGATGGAAAAAATTAGCATAGATCATATGGTCTAGTGGGTGATTTGGTCATTGTCTAAATATTACAAACACTTATGGACAATCATAAAATCCTTTATTTATTTATTCTGTTTTTTTTGAGACAGGGTCTCTCTTTATACTGCAGGCTGTCCTTATATTCATGCCAGTCCTCCTGCCTCACCTCCCAGGTGCAATAGTTGGGTTTACAAAATCCATTATTTGACAAGACTGTTGACCAGCTGTTAAGGATAACTAATCTAGAGAATTGAATTATTATCTCTAGAGAGAACTAATAACCAGTTCAGGAAAGATATATAAATACATACAGATATTCAAACTTGAGACACTATGAATTAAAAATGTATAATGTAATTATAGAAATAAATGTAATATGTACACTTGACCTTAGCCCAAAAGTAGAGACAGGATAACAAAGGCACTACCTGTGATAGAATCTAAATTAATAAGCCAAAAAATCAGAATAGTCCATATAATGTTACAAGTCTGTTTTCAGTCGGTAATAGACACTAACCAATACTAAGACTTACTATCAAGCTGTAGTAATAAAGCCAGTGCCGTGTGTGTAAAAAGTAATGGGTGATACAGTTAGAAATAAGCTCACATAAACATTATCAGCTGATCCTTGACAAAGGATTGCAGCCAATTCAATGTAGAAATGATAGTGTTTTCAAAAAACGACACTAGAATGACTGGATGATCTTATATCTTTCACAAAAATAACACAGCACCAATTATAGGCATAAATGTAAATATAAAACCATATGATTTTTACAATACAGTATAGGAAAATCTACATAATTATATATTTGATAATTACATTTTCGATATAGCATCAAAAACACAATACACATATATTATATTATATGCACATTTTATATTTTAGTTTATATTATAAACCATTAAAATACAAAATAACCTGCTAAAATATTGTAAAAAAATGAACCATAAACCTGAAAGAATATATTTATAAGACATATTTCTGGAAAAGATACACAAAATATATCCAAACTATAAAGTCTCTTAAAACTCAAATGTAGAAAACAAACAATTGTGAAATAGACAAAAGCCCTGAAGATACACTATACCAAGGAATACATGCAAACTGGAAGCAAGAATAAGAAAATTATTTAACATCATATGACATTAATGAGTCACATATTAAAACGATGAGATAACATGCTATGACACTTCCAGTACAATGCCTAAAATCCAAAGCACAGACAACACCAAAAGCTGGTGAGGATTTGGAATGACAGGAACTTCCCTACATTGTTAGTGGGAATACAAAATGGTACAGCCAATTTGGAAGATACTTTGCAGATTCTTACAAAGCTAAACAGAAGTCTACAATTCAACCTGGAATCATATTACTAGGCATTTACCCAAATAAATTTAAAATTATATCCACACAAAGACTTGTGTATGGATTGTTATAGCAGCAGCTAAACTACACTTCAATAAGTGACCATACAAGTAAAATAAGGTTCCCTCATGTGACAGGGTATTATTCAACAATTTAAAAAAATAATGAACTCTCAATATTTGAAAAAATCATGGAGAAGACTTAAATGCATACTGAAGTGAAAGAAGCCAGTCTAAAAATACTAAATTTATTCCAACTAATGACATGCTGGAAAAAGTACAGCTATGAAAATGACTAGACATCTTCAAGGGTGAAGGTGATGAGAAGTGATGAACAGATAGAACACAGTACATTTTAAGGTGAGTACAACTATTCTGTTTTCATATTGTCATAGTGGACATATAATTTTATCTGTTTGTAAAAATGCGTAGAAGTGGAAAACACAAAGTCTGCATGATAAGACAATTCATGGATGTCTTAATAATATCCTCTCAATATTCATTCTTCAGTTGTGAATAAAAGTATTACACTATGTAAGTTGTTACTAGGAGGAATTGTGCATTGGAATGAAGTAAAGGGACATATGAAAACAATTTTTATATTTATGTTTTGTGTAAATTCAAACCAGCTTTAAAGTGTCTTAATTTTTAAAATGGACTGAAAGCACCTCAAATAGACAATAAGTTGAAATGAAATGTTTTGGTTAAAAAAAAGAAAGCTATGAAGATAAGAGTACAATATCCAAACCTTTTCTATTTAGTCACAATTTAAAATAATTAATGCAATTAAAATTAAAATTCCAGCTTTTCACTAAATCTTTTTATATGATATCTTATTCTTTTAAATCATGTTTTAAATTTTTGTATAGTTTACAAATTGTTCAGTATCATCTGGAATTATTCAAAAATTAATTCAGAGTGTTTTCATTATGATTTATTTCATTATCATATTTCATTATGATTCATTATATGTTATATAACACTTTGCCAAATAGATAGCATTTCATTTTTAAAATTACTGCATATCTACACAGAGAAACAATAAGAACATAATTTCTTCTTTCTGATTTTTTTCAGTGATTAACATAGACATGTATACATGATTTTATTCCTTTGAATTGTGCCTTTTTCCTCCATTTTCTCTTTCTACAATCATTTTCCTATTATTATTTTAGTGGATGAGTGTTTATTTTATATTTTTTTAATTTTAGAATTATTTTACAAAAAATTTTGAAATGAAAGTAAAATGACTTTATGTGGGTGTTTTTTCTTTTTAGTCAACTTCCGTTAACTGAATCCAAGTACTAAAACTCATAATTATTAGTGATAAAGTGCTGTTAAATTAACCATAGATGGTATCTATTTCACCAGGTTTCCTGTCATATTCTTTTGTTGTTATTGTTGTTGTTGTTGTTGTTGTTGTTCTAGGAACCAACTTAGAAAACACATTATGTTTTTCTGTTATACATTTATATGGGGTTTTCTGATTTGGCTCAGTCTCCCAGTTATTCTTTAACTTTCATATTCTTGGCACTTTTGAAGAATACTCTTCAGGTCCTTTGCGGTATGTCCCTCAATTTATCCCTCATGTTTTACCATGGCTGATCTAGAAAATAAGTTTTATGGATGACCGAGGGGTGAGGCAACTTTCTTATCTCTCTGATATAATGGGTAAAGTATAGTAAAATGTTTTCTCATGATGACATTAGGCTTAGTCACATAGGTAAGATACTGTCAGTCTGCTATTTTTCTCCCATATGGAATTTTTTCTCTTTAATTACTTCCCATTTATTATTTATTGTAAACCTGTGACTAAATGAACCTACTCTTGAGATTATGTTCATATATTACTTGGAATTATTACATAAGAAAAACTTTTCCCTTCATTTATAAAGAAATATCTTTTACATAATCTTATCACTCAGGTGTTCAGGACTTCAAGCCTGGGGTCACATTAACATACATCTCATATTTCAGTCATCAGAAATCCAGATGCAACCCATGCACCAGCCAAGTAGCTACCATTTAAGCATCAATCTCACCTTTATTACCACTGAAAACTGGTCTTCCTACTTCAAGATTAGCCTGTCTTTAGTGTATTTGAAATGCAGTAACTTCAGTGGTATTGCTCTGTATTCAGGAAGACAGTTTAATAATCTGTTCAGCAGACTACAGAGGTTTCTTATTTTCCACAAAGTTCTTCCCAAAGATCTGCCAGGCTTTATGTCATCCTGTACCATTACCTCTCTGATCTCATCCTCTATATTAAGTACATGTATGGTTTTAAATTGACACACACTGAAGCACACATATCTCTTTTTTGTTTTGAATATGCTTAATATTGGGTGTAGAGCATGAAATGATAATGGAATAACATGTGTCTCTGGTGATTAATGTGTAATAAAAATAAAAACTACAGTATATTTATTTATAAAAGACTAGCCTCACACAAATAACAGAAAGTCTACCTCCCTGAATTTAGCTTTTTCTATCAACACTTTATAGTAATATACTAGAATATTTTCATTAATATCTTTCCAAATTACAGCAATATATTTTTCAATTGTTTATTCTGCAGATATACATACCTGAGATTACATCCGATCTCTTCTAAAATCTCCATTTCCAAATTGTTTTATATTTCATTTTCATTCAGAGACTATTTGTATTTGCCATAATTTAGTGTTATGACAAATAAGATGTTTCGTACTGATTTTTTTTTTTTTTTGGTACCGGGGATCGAACTCGGATCCTTGAGCTTGAGCAGCAGGAGGCGAACCACTGATCTAAATCCCCGGCCCCTCGTACTGATTTTATACTGTGTATCAATTCAATGATTTTACAAAGACATAAATGTGTATAAATGTTAATATACTATTTCCCATTTTCTTAGTTGTAGCATTGTTCTGTGCATATGATAATATCACAGTTTGCCATCTTTGTATGAAGAACTTATTATTTCGTGTTGTGTAAGCTGCCTTATTAAACTATTTTAAATGTACAATTAGTACTGAATAAAACAATTTCTTATTCTGAAGCTTTAATTAGATGTTTATGTATAACAAATATGTATGAATAATACATTCCATTTATTTTTAATTTGCACTTATTTTTATAATGTGAAGTATATACTCTGATAAAGTTAAAAACATTTAAATGTGAATGTGCATGTAATAGTATGCTTATATTTGAAGATTCATGCATCCAGAATTTAGAGATATCAAGAACATCTATTATATTCTTGTTTTGGAATTTCAAATAAGAGTGGTTATATTAAGAAGCAGAGATAAAAGGAGAAAGCAAGAAATAATTCAGGTGCTGGTAAAATAATACACCACACCACAGAATTCTCAACAGTGTGCTATATATAGAAATAAGATCAGCCATTGTTTTCAAGCCTGCTAAATAAAACTGGACAGTGGAATGGCATGCCACTTGACCTCTCAGCTTTCCCCAGCAGTATTTAACTGGTGCACAGGGCACACACCAGCAAGTCTGCTGTTTACATGACGGATTCTCCAGCTAGTTTACACAATGTTCAAAAGCCACAAATCCCTTGCCTCAGAACGTAAAAAAGAATTAGTCTTTAAAGGAGTTTCAAGGTCCACAGTGAGGAATGATCTGAGAAGTTTCCACACTTTGTCGCATTTTGTACTCTCAGCAGGCCCTCTAAAATCAGCTCCAGCCCTCAAACATTCAAAAACTGCTTACTTTGAGATTGAAATACTTGATGCTCAAACCAGAAAACAGATATGTATTGTGGATAAGGTGAGTTTTGTTTATTTATTTATGTAAAGTTTTCTTGACTCCAAGATTGTTGATCACTTGACTAAATGCTGACAGCACGGTACTAAAATAAATTCTTGGTTTTTAATCTTAATTTCAGGATGAACAGGAGAGATACTTTATTCATAGTTTTGGGAGAAAGTATTCACTACAACTTTTATGCTCAATTTAAATTAATTACATGATAATTAATAGCCAGTTTCTGGTTTTCTTGAACTTGTTGACTATTATCCAGAAATGAGATTTCTATTGATCAATCTCTTAGTCTATATAAAAATTATCTTTAGATCTTCTCTTAAAGCACTTCAATAAATCTGAATATTATCATAGGGTTTTAATAGTGTTTATAGAAAAGTGGAAGCAAAAGTCACCGAAATCACTAAATAGCATTATGTAGTATATATCATAAAATCTAGTCATATTTTTGGGTTGTCCAATTATATGCTACCCATCTATAGTCATATTAACAAATATGCCACTAAGGAATAAAAAATTTACACATTTTAAGTTAGAAAATTGAAGTGTGAACATGAGTAGTGTGTGTGTGTATATATATATATATATATATATATGCATGCATGGGCAATATTCCAAACATTCTTTCTTACAAATATGAAAAGAAATTAGTAGTTTAACTTATGAGAAAGATTAATATTTTTAATTTAAAAGAATAAATTGTTTTAACATATGGAAATATTAAAGATATCTTTGCTGTTATCTTAAATGTAAAATTTAATCATTTATTCCATGTAGCCATTCTCTAGCTGAGCTTCTAGAGAAGATGTAAAGAAATTATTCACTGCTTTTATTTGAAAAGAAGATTATATATAGTTTTATCTTTATTAATTATAACAAAATTGACAATTGTATAATTTTATTTTCAGATAGAAAATGAAGTTTAAGACATCTTATAAGTTTATGTGTATCATAAGTATATTTTATGAGATTCAAAAGCACTTCCTCATATATAATTATAGAGTACACTTTTTCTATAATTCTACTGGGGCCAAATGTAAAATATAATTTTGATCTATGAATTTTATTCATAATATAATTTATTTGTTTATTATGTCAGTACATCATTTGGATTTTTAAAAAGTATTCAAAGATTATTTAAATCTAAAAACTAAATTCTCATCCAGAAATTGCTGATGTTTAAAGCATCTTACTATCAGATCGCAAAACTTAGAGGAGAGGAGCATAATTAAATCAGGAGAAAAACATAATGGATTGAATGGAAAGAAAATGTCACAGATTTTCACTTGAGAGTAATAAAATACTAATCAGCTTTTAATGATTTCTCATCTACATGTAAATTTTTCTGCTTTTGAGAATTTTTTTGAAGATAAGACAGGAAATTTACAAGTCTGGTATTGATTGAGTTGCAAAAATTATGCATTCAGAAAGCTATCATTCCTTAGAGCTGAGAATTTTTCTCGGGAATCTCACATTTGAACATGAGCCTTTGTATCTGCAACTCAACAGCAAAACCTGACAGAAGCTCAACAGGCTAAACAAGGGATTAACTGGATTCCTCCCCTTGCACAGCCACCTACATGGCGTCCAAGTCACTGCATTCACTTAGACCAAGTTCTTTTGTCATATTATTTTATATTTTGGTATATGTTTCATGTATAATGGCACAGTTAAGAAAAAATGGATCAATTTACACATTTTTGCTTCAAGATTTGTAGTGGTTTGATGTATAAACATAAGAAATTTTAATTTTTTAAAAACAGCTTAATAGGTAAAAATGTCGGGTAAAATGCATTTTTTGCACTTGGATGAACCCAGTATACAGAAAATGTTGCTTAAAACTTAGTCCCAGTCTTTCAGTACTTTTTGTGTTATGAAGTAGCATATGTTAAATAAATATGATGAACTTTGGAAATAAGCACACTTGGACCTAATCCCTGCTGAGTCGCTCCTATGCATCAACCCTTAGGAAAGACACTCAATTGCTTATCCCTGCACTTTAACATATATTAATTTAGTATATATGTTAATAAAAACTTGTTCTTTTAAAATCTTACAACAAAGAGCAGCAATAATAATGAGAAAAGCTCAGAATAATGCCTGATCATAACTGGAATAATATTTTTGTAATATTTGATAACCATTTGAAAAGATGCTGTTAGTATATATATAAAAACCTAAGAAAAAATAAGTGATGAGTCTTATATAGAGGCATAGACTTTAAATTTTATTACTTGATAATTGATTATCAATTGGTATGATTTATTATAATATTTAATTTAGGTATAATATTTTCAAATATCTTGAATAGACTATATGTATTTAGTTAAATATGCTGATGCAGTATGTGTCCTTTGTGTCCAAAGGACAAAGACTCAAAATATTTCTAAAACTATTGTGATAATTCCTGAGATTAAAGAAAATACATAGATCACATTCTGTTAATGAAACACATACTCATACATACAAAATACACATCAAAACAAACAATGAAAATCCTATGCTATCACCTCCCACTTCCCCCTGTTTGTACCACTACTTTCCTAGATGTTCCTGCTGTCTGCCTTCATCCTGTCTTTTCATTCCATCCAGATCCCATTCTCCATCACTGCTCTGAGCTGGAACTCACTGGAGTCCAAGTAAAGCAGAGGTCAAATATGGCTAAATCCGAAGGTCCATTCTCATTTTCATCAAATCTTCCTGTCTAAAACTCATTTGAAATTCAGAACAATATATCTATGTAGCTCATATATATGTGTGTACATACCTATGAATATGTGTGCTTGAGTGTATATTTTTAACCTACAGAGAACTTCATTTCACTTTCTTCTCTAGTGATTCTTCATCATTTTATTTACTAGAGACTGTCAATTTTAACTTCAGATTTTTTCCTTCTGTAGTACTTTGCCATATTGAATCAGAGTTGTAAATATCATCTACTTATTGATGACTTATAAACATCCGACTGCAGCCTATTATTTTTTCCCTGAACTCTGAAAGTACTGTCCCTATCTGCCTATCTTTCACCTATCTATCTATCTATCCATTATCATCTGTCATTTATCAGATCTTTCCTAAATATCTCAAAGTCCACACATCTAAAACTGAGCACTTAAGTCCTCCTCCAGTAATTTTACACAGAAATCTCCAAGTAAATAAGTGACAATTGACTACATCCTTAAAATTGCTCAGGCCAAAGACGGGGGAGGCAAAGTTCATCACCTAATCTCACACCCGATATGTAATCCATCTCCTTGATAATACCTTCAAATGTCTCCAATATGACAAATTCCCATGACCTCTCCTGCCAGCACTCCCAACACTTCATCTTGCTTTTGTCCTTGGCATCTTCAGTATGTTCTCCACGTAGCAGCCGACATTAGCTTGTTAGAGCATGTCAGATAATAACATTCACTTGTCAAAACTAGCCTGTACCTGCCTCTACATGATGACTGTTACATTTTCCTGGAAGCTTTTCCTAACTATGTAAAACTGCAAAACCTGCCAAGTTTCTGTATTATCTCTTCTTTTCAAATCCTCTATGAAACTTATTACCATCTAACAAGTATTTTTCTTTGTTTTTCACTCCATTATCTTCTGCATTTAAAATAGTCCTTAGTAGAAAAGGCTTAACCAGTGTACATCAAATAAAAGGACACTTGCTTAAGTAATGAGTAGAACTTACATTGCATTCATTTTTAATAGAGATGGCTTTAAGGTATAGGGCTGTAATATTTTAAAATACATTTTATATTCTAAATTATTATTAGGATAAATGTAGGTATGTTTATAGAAGAAATATTTCCACAAACCATTCCACCTTACAGCAAATGCACTCTAGCTTGTTTTGAACATGGATGCACATAATTTAACTTTGCACTTGTATATAATTTATTAGCAGATAATTATGTTCTGATGATTAAAGGTAACACGCTTTTTATCAAGCATATAGAGGATATTTATTTAACTAATTCAGTTATTTCCATGCATGATTAAAGCAAGTAATCAAAGATAATACATTGGAAACTCCAAGAAAAAACTTTAAACATTTATCAATGAATTATTTCCATTTGTTGTCATTCCTTGTCTCACTGTTATTTTGGAAAATGTCAGAAGTTTATCTGCTGATAAGTCCCTGATTCAAGAGCATGACCATGCCATTAAAAACAGGACTGATAAATGTTTCCAGCGTCTTCCTATTCTCTTTTCCTTGATCTTTTTTTCCAGGAAACTAACCTCAAGAGCCCTCTTAATTCTAGTGTTTTGTTTTCTCTATATCACAACTCAAAAACTTTACTAAAGAGTTCATACAAATAAAAGTATTCAATAATTCTCAGTCTTGATAGTTGTAAAGACACCAGTCATCAGCAGAGAATAATAGAGAAAATTATGGAATAATAAGACTGCATACAAATTTTACCTTTAATATTTTACTTAGAAATTTTGAGAATACTTAACTTTTGACATGATTCCTTTTATGTTTCATGTGTCACATGGCACTTATCATATTCATTCCTTAATTTCTTCACCTGCAAAGTTGAAAAGGAATTTGCCTTTGACCTCTGACAATGTTCAGAAACCATGTGTATGCGAATGACTAATGTTTCCTCTCTTTCCTCTTCTTTCTTCTACTTTTCCTCCCTGCAATCTTTTCCCTCCCATTCTTGTCCCTTTCTGCCCTCCTCCTTGATCCTCTTCTTCTTACTTCTTATGAGGTAGCATAACAATGAATTCTGAGATTTGTGTTCAGATAGACTTCGATTTTAATATAAATCAAAGTGTATGTTGTCTTTCTCCCTGGGCATACTACAATATGTCTGGCCTTTAGGATACTTTCCTGCAAAGAAGTTAGGATACCTCCTCTTATAGATGAAGAAACTGTGGCACAGAGAATTGAAATGAAATAAGTGTGTGGCATTAAATCTATATAGCAGTTTTGGAAGTATGGCCATTTTCACTATATTAATCCTTCCTACCCAGGAGCAGGGGATG